TTAAACATATTTGCGAAATTAGATTGTTTAAATTTGAATTATTTAGTTCAGGAAATTTTATAATTCTATCGTTTTAATAAAATAAGTTTACGTTAATAATATTAGGTTGCAAAACATGAAGCAATTGTTTTTAATTTAATATTATAAAATAAGTAAAATACTTACTTCTATATGGTAAGCTATGGATACACACTTGATTATCAACAGAAATTGATAAAACCGCTGCTTCTGAGGTGCTGCTAATTGAATGCGAGTCCATAGTAACAGGAAGAAACTGTAAACCTGTGATGAACATGGAATGTGCTCCTGGAATATGCAGAACTTTCTAAAACAGTTTTAAAATTAATCAAACAGAACATTAAATATGAACCATAATAGTAATATTAAGATTGTAATAATAGTAAATTTATTTAAAAACTGCAAACAAACCTGCAAACTAAAAGCTATATAAATATAAACAGAACCACTAAACATAGTTCCCACTGCTACAAATCTGCCATCATCTCTTACAGCAAGAGCTGATAAGCTTTCATCAAAAGAAACAGATCTTGTTAAAAGCTGCTGAGATGGAATCCATTTCTGTAAGTAGGAATTTTGTTTTGAAGAGTGAAGAGGATTTGTTATCATAAACAAGGTGCTAACATTTTCATCTTCCACTTTTCCAAACCTGAAATTGTTTTTATGAAATAATATTAATTACGTTATTTTATGGCATTCTATTATTTACTTACTTATTACTTAGCATTAAAATAGGGGATACATTTTCTATCTTAAATTACATGAAAAAAATGATATCTATTCTGTTAGTACTCTGTATTTTCACAAAAATGCAAATAAAATTGAATGAAGTGGATTCTTAGTACTTAACAATAAATACTAAATCACAAATCCATGTTGCTTTAAGGTAGACATAAGTATTCAAACTGATTAGGTAGTTCTCAAACTCTCGCAACAATCGATACACAAAATGTATTATAATTCATTGTTTAGGTACTACACACATTGCACTTACAGCAATTTATGCAAATTAGTTTTTTTTTTGTAATGAACCGCGTACTTGAAAGCGAAATAAACCTTCGAAAATTTTGCATTAATTTAAACGATTCTTCAATCGTATATCACATTTCCTTAGAGGAAAATATAAGATATTACACTGATTAAAAATCAAATACCTACATCTTTCTTGTTAAATATACACAAAACCACACCTGTTATAGAAATGAAAGAGGGTTCATTGATCGCCTAAATTTCTAAATTATTATTAATACATGTTGACTGAATACTGATAAGTAAATGCCATTGTCCTGTTTCTTTTTTCGCATATTTTTTTAAATTATAATAAAAAGCTAACAAAGTAATGCTACATATAAAAATACAATAATACCCATGTGATTACTTTTAAATCAGCCATTTCCTTTAATACATTGTCCTTATTTAGTTCAAGAAGTAGAATAGCAAAAATATTTTTTCCTGCATTTTTAGAAGCGAAACATTTAGAATTGGGAGGATAAACAATCTTAGTATTAAGTACGATTTCCTACTAAAATGTTTATTATATTATATTACAAAATGCTTTTTTTTTAATATTTACTGAATGTAAAAACGGATGTATTAATTAATTATAAATCTAATTTATCTTCTTAAAACGTGGTAAATAATACAAATATTTTACAAACAAAATACACATTTATTCTGCAGTGTACCTTGAAAAACCACAATAAATAAATAATCGACCTATTACTGCATCCTTCATAAGTCATCACAAATCCAACATTACCATTTTAAGTAATGTATTACAATTCTAATTTTTTATGTTTTGTTTTTTATTATTAAAAGTTAATATTTCAATTATTTAAAATAAAACAAGACTAATGTATCTTTAATTTAAATTCCTAAATATGCACAAAACATGAAGGACAATATTATCATAACGAACAGAATAATTAATGCAAACCAGAGGGGAATGGTCTCTAAAATAAAAATAAAAAATAGTATTAGTACCTTTTTATGACGAATGAAATATTTTATGAATATTAAGTAATCATTGATCTGTTCAAGCATAAAATATTTTTTATAAGCAGAAAAACAAAGGATCACATCAATATTTTTATTGTATTTCGTAAATCATAGCAAATAATTTTTTTTTCAGCGTGGCATTGTTTTTTTTATTTTATTATATTAGTAGAATAAAAAATTGAATTGTAACACGATTTTCGTAATTGACTGGAAATCCGAATTTTATATTTTCAGAACATAAATTAAGACAAAAATCTTTTTTCCAAATTAGCAGAAATTCTGGATCAATGGCTTTAATGCATTTTATGCTGGTCTTATATTAGACGTAGAAAATATTTGTCTCGTACATATACTCAATCGCATTCTCAAAAGCGAGTTTAACTATTTATTACGGGTGATAATTAGATCTAAGTAACTGGCATTTCAATGTAACTAGGTATACATTTTTTTTGTACCGGATTCAAAATAAAAAATCAAGTAGGTATATACAACCAAACATATGTCCTGTATGTTTAAGTTGCGAAAGAACGATCAACACGTATATATATATTAATATTTTAAACATATTTGCGAAATTAGATTGTTTAAATTTGAATTATTTAGTTCAGGAAATTTTATAATTCTATCGTTTTAATAAAATAAGTTTACGTTAATAATATTAGGTTGCAAAACATGAAGCAATTGTTTTTAATTTAATATTATAAAATAAGTAAAATACTTACTTCTATATGGTAAGCTATGGATACACACTTGATTATCAACAGAAATTGATAAAACCGCTGCTTCTGAGGTGCTGCTAATTGAATGCGAGTCCATAGTAACAGGAAGAAACTGTAAACCTGTGATGAACATGGAATGTGCTCCTGGAATATGCAGAACTTTCTAAAACAGTTTTAAAATTAATCAAACAGAACATTAAATATGAACCATAATAGTAATATTAAGATTGTAATAATAGTAAATTTATTTAAAAACTGCAAACAAACCTGCAAACTAAAAGCTATATAAATATAAACAGAACCACTAAACATAGTTCCCACTGCTACAAATCTGCCATCATCTCTTACAGCAAGAGCTGATAAGCTTTCATCAAAAGAAACAGATCTTGTTAAAAGCTGCTGAGATGGAATCCATTTCTGTAAGTAGGAATTTTGTTTTGAAGAGTGAAGAGGATTTGTTATCATAAACAAGGTGCTAACATTTTCATCTTCCACTTTTCCAAACCTGAAATTGTTTTTATGAAATAATATTAATTACGTTATTTTATGGCATTCTATTATTTACTTACTTATTACTTAGCATTAAAATAGGGGATACATTTTCTATCTTAAATTACATGAAAAAAATGATATCTATTCTTTATAAAATTTGTTCAATCTCACTTGTTATACACATAATTTATAAAAGTATATTCGTTGAAGTGAGTGGAGAGAAAATTAGATAAACAAATTTTGACTGGTGAAACTAATTTTTAAACATTTGTAATTCGATTTCGTTACTTATACAGTTCAAACGAAAAAAAAATTCGAAAACTTTACACAAAAATGCAAATNTTCGAAAACTTTATCAGTCAACATTTTTGTTTGAACTTAATAATTTAGGAAATCGTATTATAAATGTTTAAGAATTTATATCTCTGGTCATAATTTGTATAAAAAACTCAAATATGTCTTACTCTTACAAATCACTAAAACATTAGACAGTCCAAATCCCACTAAAATTAGCTAAAATTCAGGTTGCAGTAATCTGAAGTAAAAATAGGGTCAATATTTGTTTTTAGTGTATCAAAAATCATTAAAAATAGCTATTAAGTCGACGTAGTCACTATTTTGGCTTCTTGCAATAAGTCATTTTTTGGCAACCTCTATTAGTTTACCAGTACAAAATGCATTAGGGCAGAGACCCCTTTATCACATAATTTAAAGCTTATATTATGATATTCTCTGTCTATAGACAAACAAAAATTAACAAACCTGCATCTTTTATACAAATATTTAACATCATCTGAATGTTTCCAAGTTAGTCGACCAATTTCTTTACCCAAATTGTAGTCCCAGAGAATGGCAAAACCATCTTTGGCAACACTAACTAAATAATTTTCATAAGGACTAAAATCTACGTCATCTACTTCCTGGCTGTGTGCCTTCAATGTATGTAATAGTTTTAAGCTGGGAAATTGCCATATTCGAACAACCCCTTCTGTACCACCTATAGTGCAATTAAAGTAAAAAAAAACTGTATATGTGCCATGAAAATTGATAATATATGTACCTGTTGCTATTAGAGATCCAGTATGGTTGATTTTTACAACTCGTTGCAATGGCTCTTTTTCTAAAAAATCAGTTTGTACACTGTCAAAGGGATGTAAAGTAAATGATAACTTTCTGTCATTTTTATTTGAATCAAGATTATTCTGTGTTGACTTTTTTCTTTGTCGCAATCCTTCATGTGAAGAATCACCTATTTCTTCTATAACTTCATTGCTATGAATCTTTGTTTGTACTTTATATAACTGGCAGTGACTTTCTTGACCCGCAACTAAATGTAAATGTTTTTTATCACTATATGTACAGCAGTTCATGACAACATTTGAACCAGTTTCGTGTCTTATCACTTCTTCTGCAATAAACTTATTGCCGTCGTGTGACAATTCGAATATTTCCTAAAACATTTTGATTGCTTACCGTTATTTACAAAACATAAGTTAAGTAATACTTACAAAACCATTAGCTACACCTGTTTTGGATGAGCCACCTCCTCCACCAACCAAAACATGACGACTAGTAAGCATTTGCACCGTATAGAGAGGGAAATTGACTCTTGCAAGGAGACCATCTCGTCGTCGTCTTGCTGCAGAAGGCATTTTGTTGTTTAAAAAATATAAGGAGCAGTCAAAAGTACTTTTACTTCCACGTAGTTAACCTAACATTTTAAGAACTGATTAATGTTTTAAATTCGTAGTTATAATGTATTTTCTTGGTAGTTCAGCAGGTTACTTGGATTGAACATTTGAACTTCTTTAGTACAAACATCCGACGAACATTCAAAAATTAATTTGATTGTGAAATTTGAAAAACACTTTCAGTGTTTCAATATAATCTCAGGATGAGGACGCTTAATCTTTTTCAATTTGTACCTGTTTCGCCATCAACAAAACAGACTGAAGTAATTATTTTTATTGAAATAGGATTTTTGTCTTTTTAATCTTCTAGAGACGATATAAAGTACGATTTTTGAAATTAGATAATTCTGGAGAAAAAATGAAATATCTCAAAAAATTTAAAAAGTACTCTAGACCCCAATGAACGATAATAAAATTCTGAAGTGTTGTTGTTCTCGATATATATTTATAATTCTTGATGGTGGGAAATATTAGTTTTGCCCTAAAATTAGCTCAATTTCAAAAATTTTACTTTATATCATCTTTTTGGAAGATTAATTCTATATTTCCTGTTTTTTAGAGCGCCTTCATAAAAATTATGTTTTACTAAAAAATATATATTATTTAAATGTATTAATTTAGTCTACTTAAATTATACCAGGTGTTTATTAATTTTAAGTTACTAGTATAATTAATAAAAATACATTGTTAGTGTTTTTTTATTAAGAAACAAGCTTTTGCCTCACAAAACACCTATAAAAGTCGCTATGGTCAAACGTACAAACAGCTGCAAAAACCTTAAACTTTCTATGTAGTTTACTAACATACTAAAGCGTACAAGGTATTCTTATTAAAGTTGGTGCTTAGTTATTTGCGCTACATATTACATACACATACTTGTATATAAATATGGCAGATATACATTTTAATTAAATATGTATCTTTTTGTTAATAAATTTTATACATCAAAGAGAACAATCCATCACAGAAGCTAGTAATAAGTATTAAGTATAGGTGAGAAATGCTTACATTCATTTCTGCAAGTGCAATATGTACTGTTGTAACATTGTCGTTATTAATTAATATTATTGTTTATTATTATTACTATTTCTATTTTAGCAGTTTATTGTTTGTTTATATTTAAATGTATATTAAATTATAACACACCCCTGTTGGTGAGCAATAAAATGTTTCGCCCCTGTATTGTAAGCTAAGTAAGATTTCATTCATCAATTCGATACACGCAAGGCAGCAACAGTGGCAGTTTCACACAGTTAATAATTTGATAAGTTCTTACAATATAAATAATATACAACACTTATGCCTATAATGATAATTATTCTTACTGATGTCATACTGATATATTCCATTTGCTGTTTTAAATGTTTCACCATTAGTTACCCAAGGCATGACCTTAATAGTAGGTACGTTACATCATTAAGGGTTACTAATAATCCATCTTATTAACTTATGAATTTCATTAACTCATTAGTGTAAGCCTATCAACTGGAAGTCTTTAGTATTTAAGCGGCGCAATCTTTTCTGATATCATGTTAATATTAAACTTAACATCCTACAAATTTCGCTAAAATTTCTATACTAAACTAAAACGTCGAAGGAACCCCGATTAGTTTCCTAAATTTAATTGTTTTACGAATTTATTTAACTAATAAAAATGGATGGAACCAATTAGGAGCATAGAGATGTGATGCAACCAGATAATTCAGTTCTTTTAATTAGAAATGTACTGAAAAAGAGTTATCAGAATAAACGAAATAATCATTGTAAGGCTAACACTAATTTTTTTGAGACGTTATTAATATGGCTTAATTGGTACATTACAAAGCTAATCAGTTAATTTATTAAATAAATAACAAAAAATAAGTACAAGACAACTTTTTTATTACTTAAATAATATCACAATGCGAAGCTTTATTGTGAAACTTATTTTTTCCATTAATATATTTCAACTTATTGTTGACGTTAATAAGTAGTCCGACTAGTTATTTTGTTAGCTAAAACACTTTTAATGTAGAACTGAAGGATTATGAAATCATTTCTAGAAGACTTCGTATTTATGTCAGAGTTTGATTTGTATTAATCGTTGGTATTAATCATGTCAACGTTTTTTTAAACATTACAACTTTCAGAAATGTATAAAGGAAGAAATCGAACTAAGATATGAAAATAAAAAAATTTCATAATTTAGTTATTAAAAAGTTGTGAAATACTATTTCGCGTCTATAAGCAAATTGGCACGCGCGAGTTTCCCAATTAGTCGACTTTTGTTTATTCAATTATTATAATCCTTAAATAATTTTTGTCTGAATCGATGAAGCTTTTAATTATTGTGACAACGGCAAACAAACAGAAGTTTGAGTTACAACACAAATTATTTCTTTCAGCTGAGACTTGAAGAAGTTACTGTACATACAGCGAAATGACCAATGTGGTGACATTAATAAATGTGTTGTTATTTAAACGTTATGTCTGTTTTAGTCATTTTCTTTCAGCAGGATTTTCTTTAGGATTTGGTGCACCACCAAGAGCACAGACCCTTCATTGGAAACCCCATCAGTAGAGAAACACAATAGTGAAGGTCGTCGGTGACGGAAATCACTGGCTTTTATTATATTCTGTTGCATGAGTTTAGATTCTTATTCTTACTAGTGTATATTCTCCTTTCTTCATAAGTTTTCAATTTTTTTTCTATGTCTTCTCTTCTGTTTCTAGTTCTGATGAAGGGGAAAGTAATGTTTGTAAAACGTTCGTAATTTATAAATAACCAACGATCTTCATGTTCTAAAACGAAGTCCTAGAAATTCACGAAGTCAACGTCTAGATTTATTGTAATTGCCCCTCTACTTATTGTGAATTCATCCAAATATAACATTCAAACTGAAACCAGCCTAAATCAGCAATTCATTTCTATTATACTGTTTTATTTCCTAAGCAGTCCTTTACTTTGTAATACTTTATGCCTTTAATAATACGGTAACAACAATGCAGTATTATGTTATAATTAAGAATTAATGCTTGAACAAAAATAACAGGTGACATACTAATAATTGATGCGATAGGTATAAGAATTTTTAAAGTACCAAAAATAAGCAAATGTAACAACATAATAAAAGGCAAATAATAATAAAAATTTAATAAAAAATGTGGGTTGCTAATTATAAAAGAAATATATCATAGTAAGTTTGGATTACACTAAAATTCAATATTAATCAGTCTATTTAAAAGCAAGCTGTTAATAATAATAACATAAAAATACGTGTGCAAGGTTGTAGTTCATCTTTGGTTCCAATTGTTTAACCTGAAGAAGCAGTCTCTTGAATGTTGTTACCTTGTACCTTGTTTGCCTTGTTTTGGCGTACCATTTCAGCACGCCGTTCCTATAATACAAAAAACATTTTCTAATAATGAAACACATTACGTTTTCTTTTTTTTTGTAGGTTTAATTCCCTGACATTTGCTAAAAAGTAGTCAACTTGGGCTAATTATTCTGATATTCTTTTGCTTAATTAGTACAAGGTGAGGTTGTTTGAGACATATTCTAATTTAATCTCACACACCCTTTAGTAACTTTATAAACACGTATAAAAACATGTATTTCTTCTTTAATAGTAAGTTTCAGACTCTAAATGCTTCTATGACAATTTTCAAGAGAAGGACTTTCGTTTTACTCATTTCTTTCGGTAACAGAAAAACAGTGACGAAACGTTAGAAGCATGAGTGCTTTGCTAGGTAATTGTCGTGGAAGCGTTTCAAGTGATTTTTTTTGGATTTTTTAAGTATGTTTGAGATAACTATGAGTGTTAAAAACATGTAATTTGAATTTGTAATTCTGAGGCAAACTATATTTTTTTTGTTACCTACTATATACATTTAATTTAAATGAAGTACCATTTTAATTGATTATTTTTACTATTAGTGTTTTCACAAATGTGCAAATTGTGCTTTAGTGAAAATCGTTTTACAATAAGGAAATTTAAGCACATAAACATTGAACATGCATAGATACTTACGTTTTTCTTTATATTTTCTAATTTCTTTTGAATCTCCTTTTCTCTATTTTGTTCTGCTACAGTTAGTTTTGTTTCGATTTTTACAACTTTTTCTGTTTTACGAACCTCTTCAGTAGATGTTACTGTTTGCTTAACTTCTTCTAAATGGCTGTTCTAAAGACAAAATTGTGGTACGTTCTAATGTGACAATACGAAATATATTAAATATCATTGATAAAAACACAGTTCCAAATTTATAAGAGTTAAATGTGTAAATGAATCGAAAATTGGGTTTTCAATATGTAACAAAAAAATCAGTTCTTTTATAATGAGTTGAGTTATAATAATTTTAAATTTAAATGATTGTTTTAAACACTCATTTAAACCAAAATACACAAGAAACTTTACAATTTGACGTAATAAAGTTTAATATATTATTTAATTATTTTCCTTTTCTTTTTATAAACAAATACAGAAATTTGAGATATTAAAGGAAAAAAAGGTCAGAAATGACTGGTTAAAAAGTAGAACAGAGGACGATATGAAAGTCAATATGGAAAATGAGAGACGATATAATAGAATATCTTCTGAAACATGAAGGACTAGTTGGAGACATATGAGAAGCAGAAGCAGGAGTAAATGGGGGAAGTGCAAGCCTTAGTTTAAATTAATGTTAGCAAATAGTTAAGGATAAGAGATGTTCTAGTTTTCGAGAATTGCAATGAGTGACGTAGTATATGTATGAAGGAAATGTGTGTCCAACGACATTGTGATAATGAGAGAAAAGAAATCCCCAAAATATCAGTATGTTTGATTGCCTGAGTGTTCTGTTTCTTTTATTTTTAGGGAGATATTACCTGCATTGAGATATTAAGACTAATAAATTAGTAGAACTTATAAAAGTACTCATATTTACATGTTTTTTTATGGCCTCTATTTTGCGGCTAATTTCTTTTTCGCGTTTTTGTTCGGCAGAAGTCAATTTGTTCTCAATTTTTTCTATTACTCCGGACTTACGGACCTCTGTTGTTTGTTTGATCTCTACTGGGCGGATGTTCTATTGAACAAAATTCATGCAATTTTTATAACTTGCAAAAGCAGCAAAAAATACAAAAAACATCCCATAAAATAAAATAAAATACATACGTGATTTCTGAGTTTTTCTTTTTGTTCTTGTTCGAGTTGCGATCGTCTCAATTGGGCCTGTTCTAGCTTTTCTTGAACAGCTGCGTCGAGCTGCTGAAATTTGACTAAATTGCTAGCGCGAACCTTGTTGACTTGCTCTTCCTTTATAGCAATAACAAAAAGCCAAATAATAACAAGTAATAAGCTTAGCGTAGCAATAAAAATAATTTAAAATAGGTATAATACGAAAAAAGCAACATTTTAGCTGAAAATTGTGAACGTGTTCTTGTTTTACTTTACTACTAATTATTTCTAAACTTTTTGAAAATAAAAAAAGAAACAGAAAAGTTCCATACAATGTCGCTTATAGTTTGTTAAAGAAAATCGTTTAATTCTCAAAAATGTGAGGCTTAGGATCAACACAATATTTTTTCTGCAAGGTTTAAAAAACCTATTAATCCTGATTCTTTTGTAATGTTTTTGGCGATATCATTGATTCTAACGAAAATGGTACAGAAATGTACCTTGCAAAAAATTATAAACTTTTGAAAATTAATTCAAATCGTATTTACAGAAAACTGCAAATTTAAAAAAAAGATCAAAAGTGAACATCGTGTACTGTATATACAAATAAAGCGAATTAACATTTATTACCTGTGTTAAAACAAATTTTACATTTTATTTACTTACATGTTCCTTGAGACGGTCGAGCATCTTTTTAATGTTATCATCACGTTGGGCAGAAGCAATTTTCATCTTTTCTTCCAGAGCAAGTCGAACTTCATCACACTGTTGTTCTAATGACATTCTTGTTTTTTCCACATTCTCAATATGATCCTAAAATAAATGCATCATAATAATTACTGAAAATTATTCTCAATTTTTGAATAAAAACTCGTGATGTTCTACCTAGATACATATATACCTTCATTTTAGTTTTGAGATCAGTAATAAATGCCTCGCGTTTCCCGATATGGTTTTCCATCTTTTGCTCGAGAGCTTCTCTGGTAGCAGAAATAAATTGATTGGTTTGTTCATCCTTCTTCCGAGACGCTTCCTCAATCTTCATTATTTGTGCAGACAGAGCAGCTACTTTGTTTTGCTCCAGTTGCTGAAAATGTACGAGATTGATATATGTATATCCGGTGAGAGTACTACACTTTTTCTATCAAGTGACAATTCAATCATCAATACAAATTTACCGACTGTGTTATTATTGAAAACAACAAAACTTTAAATGTAAAAATTTGATATTAAACAATAGTTAAATGAAAATATTACGGAGTTAGTAATTCTTACTGATCTATTACGATTGATTAAGATAAACAAAAAACGATACTTGTTAGTTCTAATTACTCTTATCTCAATCTATATTTGGAGAAAGTCAATAAAAATTTCTAATAAACTTTCAATCTGGTTAATATGGATTTTCATAATGTTACATTGAAGACTATACAATAATTATATGACGTTTGTTCGGTATAGGGCATACATTTCTTGAGAAGAATGCAGAAACAGTTTTTTGGGCAAATTCAAAAATATTAGAATGTCAAGTTTAATTTGTTCTTGTATTTTAACAGAGTTAAAATTTGAAAATCTATATATATAAAAATGAATTGCTGTTCGTTAGTCTCGCTAAAACTCGAGAACGGATGAGCCAATTTGGCTAATTTTGGTCTTGAATTATTTTTGGAAGTCCAGAGAAGGTTTAAAAAGTGAATAAATATAAAAAATTTGTCGATTGAGGCAGTACGAAGTCTGCCGGGACAGCTAGTCAAAAATAAAATCTCATTTCTTGATCATGTGTTTAAACAGTATTTAAATTATTTTATAAATCTTCTTATGAGAATATTTGGTTTGGTATACGTCCAATTCGATATAAATCCAAAAATCAGGAACGAATTAAAATTATATACCGAAGTACTGTATTTTCATAGTATATTTTTGCATTCAATTTGAATTCAGCGCAATGTCAATGTATGAAAAAAAAAAAGAAATGTTTTTTATTTGCTTACTATTGACGGTCAGTAAATACTCTGACCAAATCGATATAGACTTCTGGTATTTTGATCACGTAACATTTTCCAATTAAACTCGATGCATTATAACTAATTTGACGATGTCTCACCTTTTTCCGCTCTTCAGCGGCCTTCAGCTTTTCCTCAATTTCCTGTATCGACATATTTTTATTGGGAGGGGAAGAGGGTCTCTTAGGAGGAGCAGCCTTAACTTCAGGCTCACTCAGGATAACTTCATAACAGAGACCTCCCCTGGTTTTTTCTTGACATCTTACTTCAGTTGCTGTAATATTATTATGTAATTAATGAACAATTTAAACTGAATTTAATTGAAATCAAGGTTTTATAAATTATCATTTTTTATAACTTACGTAATATGGAAACCATATTCAATGGTGCAAAAATAAAAAAAAGTGGTTTAACGAAAATTCTCCTTGTTAAAGAGATACTCACAAATTTCTATATTTAGCGTATAAATATATGTTAGGTATTTTTTATTTGTTTTTTTCATAAACATAACATTGTCAACCAATAAGTAACTCAACATGTACAATTGTCGCAAAAAAGAGAGAGTAAAATTTAACACTCTTGGAGTAAACTCAGTGAGTAGATGAAACTGTTTGTATATGTATTAGGAAGAAAGTTGTAAACAAAGGCAAGAAAAGGAAAACGTTTAATTTGAAAATGCAAAACTACGTATGTCCTTATGTAGAAAGAAAGTACAATTTAGAAGGCAATAGAAATAGAAAGTTACATACCAAATTATAGAACCGCAAATAGACAATGAAACTAAATTTATCTACGACAACATACGATTAAAATCATTATATTACCACCCTAGAAAGTAGAACGATTTTAAGTGATAATTTACACGCGAGCAAAACAATTTACGCAGAAATTAAAAATTACGATAAATTCACACTGTTTTATGATGAAATTCATTAAATACAGATTTCCTCTACAACTCCTGACAAACATCTAAATTATCCCAAATGTATAATTTAATCAGAACAGCGTACAGGGTAGGCCAGCCAGGGCTACAAAAATATTGATGTACTCGTACATAATTTATATTATCCAATACTTTTGAAATGAGTAATGGAAATACATATTTGTCATTAACCTTTAGTTTTTTCTTACTAATGAAAGTGTTTACAATTGACTTAAACATTTTTCATAAGTAATAAAAGGCATTTCACATTAACCAAGTAACCATTACTCTTTTTTAAGAGTTATAGCTTATTGCGGTTTCTACTAGTGAATTATACTTTTTAAGCAAAAGTAATTGTTAATGAAAAATATTTCCACTACTCGCTATAAAAGTAATGGGTTCTGAAAAGGTAACACATTAGGAAATCCGAAATGTAAAATAAAAAAAAGTGAGATACGTATGTTAAATATCTGCATTAAAATAAAATTGGTATACTTATAAAAATCATAAGCTAAGTAAGATTTCATTCATCAATTCGATACACGCAAGGCAGCAACAGTGGCAGTTTCACACAGTTAATAATTTGATAAGTTCTTACAATATAAATAATATACAACACTTATGCCTATAATGATAATTATTCTTACTGATGTCATACTGATATATTCCATTTGCTGTTTTAAATGTTTCACCATTAGTTACCCAAGGCATGACCTTAATAGTAGGTACGTTACATCATTAAGGGTTACTAATAATCCATCTTATTAACTTATGAATTTCATTAACTCATTAGTGTAAGCCTATCAACTGGAAGTCTTTAGTATTTAAGCGGCGCAATCTTTTCTGATATCATGTTAATATTAAACTTAACATCCTACAAATTTCGCTAAAATTTCTATACTAAACTAAAACGTCGANAGTTTTATAGAAATCAACTCTCAGTCATTTGTGTTTTAATTTTTCAGGAAACCATGCACCTCCACGGTTTTCTTTTAATCTGGTTTTTAATTATTTTTCTTTCATTTCTGTATTTTCCTTTTGAAGAGAAATAAATATATATTGTGCTATACTGCAATGCCTGCGAGACATCAGTAAATATCAACAACGAATGATGAAAGTTGCAAAGCAAAAACAACTTTATCTCGATCATTAGAATCTTGCCCTAGGATTAAACATTTTTTACTTGGGAATAATACGGAAGAAATTTTAATCAGCTGGGAAGTTGGTACAAAATGCGTGCACTAACCACAGCTTTTGCAGAAAAATATCAACTAAAGTATAACACAAGCAATTCAAAAAAAAGTTCAGCTTAAAAGGTTTTAATGAGGTTGGTGCAAATTACAGGAATGACTGCAGAATTTATATATTTAAGTCAGTGGTGTAGGAGATTGTTATTTAACTAAATGTAAATATTTCGAGATTAAATAGAAAAATTTCATTTTCGACTTCTGCTATTAAATGAGTTTTGTGTAGTTTTTTTTTTGTTATTTTTTGAAGAAAGTATTTATATGCATACTTATCGATTTGTTGATCCATTGAGAATAATACACAATTAAAAATTAAAACATGAATTAAAGTAAATACTGTATGAAGCATTAATAGTGGTTAGTATATCAAATATTAAAAATGAAAATTAATTTTCAATTTTTTTACTCACTATAAATTACCTCAAGTTAATTTGTTGCTGTTATCACACCCTAATTAAAACAAACTAACAGCGACTCACCCTAGTGATAATTATGGTGTTTATTTTAATTAACTTATTTTTTTACGAGTCTCTTATTTCTACGTTTATTAAGAATTAAAAGTTGGTTAAAACAATTTAAGTCAGATGATAGTCCTGATAAGATTGTTGACAATGATTTTTCTTCTTTTACTTATTTTAATTATTTTCCAAAGGCAGTATTCAAACTGCAAGGACGTGCTGATTTGCTAGGGAATCTAATTCGGGACAGATTAGAGTATGATACCGTTTGGAGTAAGGTTTTGTATAGGTGCGGAAGGGGTGGGCGGAGAAAAGGGGTGATATAGTGAATATATGAAAATACTATGAATAGAAAATGTTAGAAGCAGGTATTGGAAAAAGGAGAGGAGAGGGCGCTATGGAAGTCAAAAAGAAAATGAAGACATATGACATGAAGGGCTAGCTAAATCATATTAGAAGCAGAAACAGCAGTGGAGGGGTAGAGGAAGATTACTGTTCTGGGATGTTGTAGTTTTCGAGATTGGCTCATTATTTATAGGAAGTAGAGAATATACGTATCCAGTATCCAATCAGTTTTAGGATTAACAACCACATGATGACGACGTATGATACTGTTTCAATAGATGGATTATAATGAACTTGTGTTAGTAAAAATTGTACAATACAATCTTTGTTTGGCTTTCATCAGAAGAATACGGACACGTCATAATCTCTCTCACGCATTTTCTTTTTTTTTTTGAGAAATGTTTGGAATGGCATTTCAGGAAAAGTCTACTATTTTAGCAACAAGCCTATCTCTTGAATTCGGCGGATTTTGTTCTTACGTACTTATATACATTTCAATTTTAATTTCGATGTCAATCACAACTGAGAAACGTTTTTGAAAAAATAGCAATGATAAATAGTTTCACTTTCGATTTTTAGGAGTGTAAAACTTTTTCAAAAAGGTCATAGTCTTTACTACGATGGGCGAAATTACTAAAAAGCGAACGAAAGGAAAAATGGTTTCTGCGATGGGTACATTAAAAAAAGGGCCCTTGAAAGCAGGGAGTGCAGCCAAAAAAATGTAAACAGGTTTAGCTTCGTATGAGCTTCGGAAGTACTTCAAGTGCATTTCTGTAGTAAGGTATACAAAAGTAAGTAGAAGTACCAAAGGCCTCGTCGTAAAAACAGAACGGTCTTATTATTCTACTGCGGCCTTTTAAAACGGCGCCAGAGATCAATAAGACCTAGGCAACGGTTACAAACGTAAATGTCTGTCGCCATCAGTTGCGCTCCTGAAATCACTAAACTTGTAAACTAAAAGTTTTAAGCAGGCTTTCTTATTTACCGAACATTACTTTGTGGAAGCAATATAGAATAGCTCTGACAGATGGTGGGCATTCTTTTTTTAATAAACGAAATACACTTTTATTAATTTTTAGGAAATCGAAAGTCGCTTTAACGCTATTTTGTACATATTTTAATAAAAAATTAAAATGAAAATGAAATACAAGCTGAACGCGAGCAAGATCAACACATACTTTCCAGGGTGCCGTATCGTAAAAAGAAAAAAACGGTAAAATTGGCTTAGCGTCCACCTGCATTTTTTAGTTGTGCAATTAACATACAATCATCAGCAACTAAATAATTTCAATTTGTCTCAAACTATTAATTTGGTTGTTCTGCATGTGCAATTGTCACAAAATGCAAGAAAGGGAATGATACGCCCAAACATTTGCTTGTTATTACGGTGAACCGAATGCGTGTGTATTGAAATTCATTCGGTAATAATTAAAAAATTTCGAAGGCTGACTTCTTAATTTCCATACAATTTATAGAACTCCCCTTTCTCGATTCGCTGTGCTGTTATCAGATGAAACCAACAATACCTTTCTTGCTTCTTTCATTTTCTTTATCTATTTCAGTGAACACAACACAGCTAACTCGATAAAAAACTTCTTGCAATAGATGTGTCCCTCACATGGGAGCGCACACCTAGCAACCGAACTGGTTGCATTATATGGGCGCAGCACTGTCCAACTGCAACCACACTGTTGTGAAACTAAAAATTGCAGCCAGTGCGGAACTAGGTACGTTAATTAAGTAGAAGTTTAAAATTGCTTTGTAGCAGGGCAATCATAAGGCCTAGTGTCCACCTGCCATTTTTAGTTTGGTTGCGACGATTGCATAGTTTGAGTTAAAATTCACATTTATAGTTGCTAGTGGTTGCAAGTTAATTGCAGTTGCATATGGACGCACCCTCATAACAATCTATGCAGTACTAGTAACTACAATTGTGGTAAGAGCATTTGATAAGAATTGATATTTACATCATATTTATTTGATGCTTTTTTAAAAAAAATCGGCATTATTAACTATTCATGGAACAATATCAAAGATATTGGCGATAGGTCTAAATAAATTTTACAGAAAAAATTGTAAACGGAATCAAACAACCAGTTTTTGTTGAATTTAGAAAAAATATACTCAAAAAAGAATTATTGTAGAATCTACATGATTCTAAAAACCATTTCTTATCGATCCCATTTTTTTCTGAATACATGACTTTTATGAATTACAGGACATCATATGAAAATTTCTTTGTATTTTTTCCAAAATAAATAAAATTATGAAGTGTGCAATTCAGGATCGAATCCGGAAGAGGGAGATTAGAGTCAATCGTCTCCTCCAATAACTAGAAAACCACAGCCGCAGTGTTGACTATGGAAAATTTAGAGATTAGGAAATTTTTAAAATTGACAGGTGCATTATTCTTCCAGTGATTTGAAAGACATCAATAGTTTTAGGACGCCCCATTGTCAGGATGCTATTGTCCCAGAATGAGTATGAATTTTGGAAAACTTATTGGAGCCGAAAAGATGAATTAGAGCATCTATGCTGTTGAAGTTCATTTTTGCAACTTTGCCGATGAACTCTAAAGTGAACATTTGGTATTATGAAGAGGCTTATTAAATTGAACTGTGGTCAAAAAGAGTGATACTTAGTTTGTATAAAGAGCAACAGAACTGGAGTTGCAACGTGGAGAAGTAAATATTAGAAAGGGGGTCAGACAGGGATGCATACTGTCACCACTACTTTTTAATCTAGAGATCGGTGATCGCGATTAACATCATTAAAGACAGTACAACTGTAGGGATAGATACACAGGGACAAAAGATTAGTATGCTTAGATTTGCAGATGATACAGCAGTATTATATTAGATATAGTTAGATATAGCTTTAAATAAAATGGAAGCGGTATTGACAAAACAGTATTGTATGAAAATAAATAAAAGTAAAACAAAAGTACTGGTATGCAAGGGAAGAAAAAGTAGGGAAAGAGCAAATACATAGATAGGAGATAAAAGATCAGAAGAAGTGCCTCATTTAAGGGATCTAGGAAGTCAGATAAGTCAGGACAGAAGGAGTAGTAGGGATATAAAGCAGATAGCGCAGGGTCGTGTCGCCTTTAATAAAAAGAAGTCATTTCTATGGTCGCGAACGGTTAATTTAGAACTTCGAAAAAAGTTGTTAAAGGTGTATGTTTGGAGCGCGGCGTTGTACGGGTGTGAAACATGGACGGTGAAGGCAGCGGAAAAGAAATGGTTAGAAATGAAGAGGTATTAGAAAGAAATGGAGAACAGAACCTTTTCAGGCATGAAGGGCTAGTCAGAGACATATTAGAGGCAGAAACAGGAGTTAAGAGGAGTAGGGGTAGACTTAGATTAGATTACTGTTCGTAAATAGTTAAAAGGACGTGGGTTGTTATAGTTTTAGGGAAATGCGAAGATTAGCTGAGGATACGGAAGAGTGGAGGTGCGTGCGTGCGTCTTATTCAATATCATGTCGACAAATGATTATAGGTTACTTCAGTCTTTACATTTACAGTTATCATTAAATATGAAAAGGGCATTTATGGAGCTGAGTCGGTTATGTTATTATTTTTACAACCTTCGAAAAAAAAAATATAGATACGGCCCTGGTGCAATTCACGGAGTAAACAAGTTAACAACCTGGAAGAGAGAATTTATCAAAAAAGATTTATGTTTTTCTTATCAACTCTTGCATAATCGTGTAAAGCTTCCTTTGTCTATTTTAGCGTACCTATCCAAAGCAATGGTCTAAAACTAAAGGGATTTACTGGTTCATAAAAGTACGTTCATACATAAGTATGTATGGTACATTCACCCTCCATAAAATTTTATACCTCTTCTCTCAATAGTGTTTGCTTCAGCAATTAAGTTTTATGACAGTTTGCTTTTAATTGTTGCTTGCACTGAACAAACACGAACAGGTTTTTTGTTCTTGTTCGCTTAGTCTAAACGCAGCTTAAGATGCATTTAAAGCTTACGTGCTTACGTATTAAAATAAAGTCAAAAAATTAAATAAAACAACTAATAGCAAATAAAAATTGTACGTTTATTGCTGTAAAATACAAAAAAAATACACGTACATAGGCGAAAGCAACTACTAAGTATAATATATGATCATGTAGCGTATACTTACAAACGAATTTTACTTTCTTCGGTTGATATGTTCGTGGTTTGGCTTTTATTTTCGAAATTGCTGCTTGACTTCGCACCACTAAAAAACAATATATAAAATGTTAAAATATGTATTAAATAATTTAATAAAGTAACAAAAAAATATTCTTCTATGTCAGGTATATAAATAATTCAAACATTTTTATTACCGCTGCATAATAATTTATTTCACATAAATTATTCTTATTAGTCGTCTTTTAAACCTAGATATTTCTTTAACTGATAACTGATATTTACTAATTTTAAATAATTAAATATTAGAATTTATTCATGAAAAACTTATACTCTTAATATTGAAATATTTAAAAGTAATTTTTTTTTATTGACCCTTAATTTTGAACATGATGTTCTTGAAAAATCTGAACAACGTTACTGCTAATTTATAGTATACTGTTTTATTATTCAAAAATCCATATTGGACTAAAGCCAAAGTAATCGATTGGACAACGGCAATCATATAGGTATATGATTTTTTTTTCACCTATTCTTTACTAAGGTTACTAATCGTAAGTCTATTCAGTTTATAAGGCTTCTGATCGATATTGTTAATAAAGAGAACATTTTCAGAGACAAAAGTATAAATATGTATGTATTCTACTGTTATTATCAATTTGATTCTACGTATTGTATAGACATGAAAAAAGGCGATGGATTAAGTCTAATCAGTAGCGCACATACGAGGGGATTACGACAGATTAATATTTTAATTAACCGAATTTTGTACATGTGGTATTTTAATATGTCATAATTTGTGTTAATCCATGACAAAATAATAGATAAAGCAAATGAATAATTTTATTTTTGTACAATTTATCATTATAACCTACAAATTGTACGCACATAAACAACTTCAGAATTTATTTTTTGTTATAGGTATATTTTTTGCAACTGATTTAGAATTTTTGTTGCCTTTTTTCTTTTAACAATTAAAAAAATTCTAATCTGCATATATGTTTAATTCATTTGGCCTCAGATAGACATTACTTAAGTTTGGGTGAAACATTACTCTTTCAAAAGTTGTTGGATATCATGGGGCTTCTCCCAGTGGCAGATCACAGAATCAAATGACCTTTAGAATCTAACAACTTTTGTGGAGATCATTTATTGATTTTGAACGTCAATCTTTTTCGAAAAGCAGGAGCCAAGTAAAACTGAACAGATTCGTCTAATAAATTTTATTGCCTTTGGATTTGGTGACGAGATACGGAGATAATTTATAAAAAGGTTTTATTGCATACTCAATCTATTAATTTGATTAGTACAGTTATTCACCATTCGTCAACTAAAACCGTTCGGATCACACTAATTTAAAATTAAAATGTTATGATTAATTGATATTTCAGAATTAATAATTCAAAATTGGGTTGCTTTCCGACTATATCTAAGCTTTGATACTCAACGGTATTCAACTTTTCCTTTTCATATTAATAAAAATATCCGTAAAACGTAGATGTTCATGAAAATATAATGTTGATAAGTCAATTTAAATGCCTTTTCTCGGCGTTGCTAATAAAAAGGTTTTAACAACTGACTATATATATAATTAAATAAAATCAGTTCTCTCATCTCTTTCACTAAGCACACTAATTATAATGTTATAATAAGTAAATAAATAAATTCGATTATTTTTTATTTCTGATTTATTCCTATAGTAGTTTCTGTTTTAGACATTTAAAATATCCCTGTATAAAAAGCCTATTGATGTAGACGATAAATACATAAGGTTGCGTGTTGCCTCGGCAAACTTTCCGACCTGAACATATTGACTTAAAAATATAAGTTTCGTTTCTACATTATCCTTTATGCAAACCAAGACCTTTCCTAACAATTGAAAACACGAAAGCTTTTCTTAATCAACGGTTCTCTAATACCAACAAGAAATCGCTTGTGTCCTCACGATCGGTTAATTTAAAAATTCCAAAAACGTAATGCACGGCAGGAGCCGTGGAAAAGACAACATTAGATGCGTTTGATATGCGGTGTTATGAGGATGTTAAAAATACATTGAATAGAAAAGGTTGGAAATACGAAGGTGTTTTAAGCAGTAGTAGAAAAAGGAGCGATAGAATTGGCGCGCGGTGCAACGGTCGGAATGTTCGAGTCCGAAGATTTCGAAATTGAACTGACTCGCTAGGCATGGTTTGTTCGTCGGACGAAGAATCGCCTGAACGCTTCATCCAGCATCGCTCGCGCGGTACAACGGTCGAACGTTCGTGCGGTGTTATTTAGAAGCAGGAATAAGAAAAATGATATTTAAAAACACTATAAATAACCAAAAAATTGTTAATTTTTAAAATTTAAAGAAATTAAAGAGGTACCTCATTCTAAAACATTTTGATTAACTACACGTCTACACTGACTGATCAAAAATCTATAAACTACATATATGAAATTTTAAACTGGTCTCTTGTAATAAGCTATCTACATTGATGACATTTATAGGAAGCTGGTTAAAAAAATAATTAGGTACGCACTACAAAAGTGACAAAAAGTCTGAAAACAGAATATGTAATTGGTACTATTGTTACAATTTTTGACAAAGTTTATTTGGTTATAAAAACTGCAGGAAACCTTGATGTTGTATTTAGAGGTCGCTATTTTAATAGGAAAATCAGAACCCTTATAACATTAACTCATCACGCGTTTGTATTTTATTGACTTGGATATGATGAGTCCGACAAAATAAACGTTACCCGGAGTCGGTCAGTCCTTAATAAAGAAATAGTAATTACATAATGAACTATATAATTTATGTGGATTAACTGCTTGGGTTTTGGCTAAATATATTTGAGTTCTTATTTTGTAATAATATATATAGCTATGATTGTTGATTAAATATTTTCGATGTTCGTAGCACCCAGAAGAATGGATTACTCCACCGTTCGAGTGAGTTTAATTATAGTCTTCAAAAATATTTCCCTTTTTTTATTTATTTGTGATATTTCGGAAACAATTACACTAAAGCCGAAATCGTGCACAGGGTATCTAAGTTCGTCCTATTTAAATTTTGCATTTTAATTTCTTTGAAAAACATTGAATAAAGGATATATACTGCAGGATCATTAGAAAAAAAGAACCATGGTAAAATTCTTAGGACGGGTGTCTTAAGACCGAACAATACAAAACGTAAATCAGAAGTCAAAAACTTCGGAATCATTCTAGTTATTTTCAGAATTATTGCAAATATGCGTTTTCATATAGGTTCAATATAATTGCAAATAACCTAACTCTAAAATAATATTGTTAAGCATTCAACTTAGACAATGTTTTAATCTTTCTTCTTGCAATGATTCTTTTTCCTGATTAGCCTGTGATACATATGTACATCCCTTAAAAGTAAAAATGGTCGTAAAGTAACAAGTAAAAAAGTATGATCACATTTGGGGTACATAGATACACAATATATATAGTGGTTTAAGTGCAATACTGACATTTTTAAAGTTACATCACGATCAATAGCAATAATAAATAAATAATGTACCTAACAGAAACAATTTCGAGCTGGCTAATAAATGCCCGAATGCTAGTGCAGTGTTCAGCATTGGCCGAACCGCAATTTCTAATTTTGTTCTTGGCTGGTTGATGTCTGTGCCACCGCCGCGAGCCTATCATCCCCGTTTCGCTTCCCCCGGCAACAAGGGTAGCCGATGACTCATACCGGGAGTAACCGTGGGGAATTCCGAACTCGACATTCTAACATACATATACCGCCGTCCGTGTTGGCGTTACTATGGAGTTACAAATACTGGAGCCAAACAGAACTACCGAACTGTCGATAAGCATTTTAGAACTTTTGAAGATAAAAAAATACTCCTTTTCATATTCATAAAATAAATAAGCTGTAGATATGTAATACATAATTATCTAGGATGACTACCTATTATACTTATACAGGTAAGGCAAAACCTTCATCGAATATAGAAAATACACATTTCTTTATCAGCTTGGTTTTCTTCTTACGTCGCATGAGTGAAAATGCATAATTTGATGAACGTATTTCTGAAAATATCACTTGATTTTCTGAGAACTGTCCAAAATTAACTACCTTTGCAGGTATTTGTACCAATTTTCCTCGGTACTATATAACAGAAATATCATCCCTATGTTTGGTTACCAATAACAGGACAGGCTTAACTACTTGATCGTGATTATCTTACCGCAACTATTAAATTTGTCAACTGTAATATAATTTTGTTAACAATAACGTTGGTCAGTGGCTCTTTTTTGCAAATTCAATTTATTGCTATAACAGCTATTCAGTAAATATCACTTTTCTTTTCAATTAAAATTAACAATAATATGTTATCTATTAAATGAGTTATAGAAAATAATAATACTGCACACTGCAATACATAAAGTAAATAAAGAAGTAGTAAAGACTTTAATGACAAAATTTTATTAGATATACTCGTACCAAATAAACATTTGTTCATTAATTACTTTTTTATTTCTCATATATACTTTATTGTGTTTTCTCAACGTTAATATAATAAAAACCGACCCATTAACCAATGTTCCTGTAATTGCAAAAACCTTCAGAAACTATTAATAAATAATGGGTATCTAATCGAATAGAGAAGAAAGCAAAAATATTGGTTGAATAATGCATGTATTTCTAAAAAGAAATGCCAACTAATCTCATCGCGCAGCAGGAGTTCAAGGTCCATAAAACGGAACAAAGGGAAAAAGAAAGCGAAGTTAATTCCATTGAACAAACGCCTGTTCCTTTCTTTTTTTGTCGCCTACAAGAACATATAACGCAAGTATACAGACTGTGGAGACCGTATAATGTACAAATAATACGAGGATAATGTGAAAAAGTTCAAACGTTTTTTGATCTATATTATCGATCAGTCGCTATTTTATTGTTTTTTTTTATTAGTTCATACTTAAAAAATAAATAAAAAAACGGTACTTACCGGCAGGTGGAATTGGTGCCCTGCACGTATGACAGAAACACTGCATGACAGATTCCCTGACGAGTCCCAGCAGCATGACGTCGGATTTCTTGCACTTCCGCTATTAAGATTGTTTTCAAAAAACGGCGAAGTTTTCTTTGATATACGGTCCTGTCAATGTCAGTCAGTCACTTATCGCTTCCGGAAGAATATGACGCTACCAGCAGGTGAATGCGTCCAGTCGTCATTAAACGGCAGATTGCGACTGCACCGAATCAGGCGTGGTGACGACGCGTCTCTGCGACGACGCTTCCCGACGCCACCACCCGGTCGATACCCTCCGGCCGTCACGGCGACGCCGCAATTCCGTACGTCTCTGCGTGCAGACCCTCGGGCATAACTAACTCACCTCATAATACATAATTATCAACGAACAGACCAGGAACAGACTTTCAGTTGCGCGTTGTTCCCGACCATGCTTTCGTCATTTCGACGTTAACCCCCAACGAATTAAAAACCGCTGAACTTACACTATACGCGATTTTAAAACATTGTCTACATACTGTATGTAGTTACATACTTATTTAAATTGTACAACTGTTGTTCATTATGTTAATATTTAGTCAGTTACTATAAACTGTCTGCTAATTATTCATCTTCATCTGACGATGTGTCGAAATGATAAATTCGAAAAAGTTTTGTTTATAATATTTTCTTGCGACAATTGTTTAAAACATGTTTCCTGCGACACGTTACATGAGTCTGCGACCCGCCTTACATCGATCGCAGACCAATACGTAATTGTCTATTTTGGATATATTCACAACATGTATCGATTTCGATGCATTGTTTCGCTTGTAGTATTCGAGTTTTTAAGGGAAGTCGCAAACATATTACAGACATGATCCGACATGTCGAATATTAATTTACTATGACACCGCTTGTTCTAATTTCAAGCGACATTTGTTATTGATCGCTTGATTGTTGAATCTTCACCCGACGATAAGACGCATGATCTGTTAAATTAGTATGCTTGAAAAAGTTTTTGTTTATAATGTTTTCTTGCGACATGTCGACGACAAAATTGCCTGCGGCAAGTTGTATGAGTTTGAGACCAGCCTTATATTGATTGCAGACCTAAACGACATTTGTTTGGGACATGTTGACTGCAAGTCTTCGACGTGTCGCTTCGTTTGCAGTATTCTGAGTTTTTATAGGACGTCCAACATCTAGTGTGCATACTGCAGACATGACATTACATGTTGGGCATTTTATGCGCCACTGCATGCTCCAATTTCATGCGACATTGGTCTTTGATGGTTTGATTGGTGAACGGCGAAAATTTATTAATGTTAACCCGACGATATGACGTATGATTTGTTAATCTTGTATGCTTGAAAAAGTTTTTGTTTATAATGTTTTCTTGCGACATGTCGACGACAAAATTGCCTGCGGCACGTTGTATGAGTTTGAGACCAGCTTTATATTGATCGCAGACCTAAACGACATTTGTTTGGGACATGTTGACTGCAAGTCTTCGACGTGTCGCTTCGTTTGCAGTATTCTGAGTTTTTATAGGACGTCCAACATCTAGTGTGCATACTGCAGACATGATATTACATGTTGAACATTTTATGCGACACTGCATGCTCCAATTTCATACGACATTAGTCTTTGATCGTTTGATTGGTGAACGGCGAAAATTTATTAATGTTAACCCGACGTTATGACGCATGATCTGTTAAACTAGTATGCTTGAAAAAGTTTTTGTTTATAATGTTTTCTTGCGACATGTCGACGACAAAATTGCCTGCGGCACGTTGTATGAGTTTGAGACCAGCTTTATATTGATCGCAGACCTAAACGACATTTGTTTGGGACATGTTGACTGCAAGTCTTCGACGTGTCGCTTCGTTTACAGTATTCTGAGTTTTTATAAGACGTCCAACATCTAGTGCACATACTGCAGACATGATATTACATTTTGGACATTTTATACGACACTGCATGCTCCAATTTCATGCGACATTTGTCTTTGATCGTCTGATAAATGAACAGCGAATATTAATTCACATTCACCGGACGACGTAACGCACGATGTGTCGAACTGGTGTGATCGAAAAAGTGTTTGTTTATAATATTTTCTTGTAGCAATTGTTTAAAACATGTCGAAGACAAAAGTTCTTGTAACATGTTGTATGAGTTTGTGATCGGCCTTACATCGATCGCAGACCTATACAACAACATCAACTGTTTTGAACATGTTGACGATATGTTCTGTAGTATCGCTTCGTTTGTAATATTCCAGTTTTTATAAGAAATCGCACGCCAAGCATCGCATGATACCATGTTGAAGACAAATTTTGTATGACGTTGCTCTCTTCGGTTTCAAGCAATATTTCTCTTTGATCGTCTGAATGATGAATTTTCATCTGACGACATGACGCATGATAGTGGAACTGGTATGTTCGAAAAACAGTTATTATTTACAATTAGAGTCCGTGAGCATTCTTATATCGATTGCAGACATACGACATTTGCTTGGACATGTCGACATGTTTCGAACTCTGCAGTATTCGAGTTTTTATGGGAAGTCTCACAACCCACATCAAGCAAACAATTGCGCGAATATTGTTTATAATATTCTTACGAAAATATTTGAAACTTGAAACATGTCAAAGATTTTTTACGACGTATTGTACAGGTGTATGACCGCCTTCTAAGATACAATTGTCTGTACGACTTTCATTTCTAATCGCAATAGTGGAAACATTACTTATTAAATGTACCTACGCATTGCTGTATTTAATGTTTACGGAAGAGGTCAAAGAACAGTAGCCGTGCATTCCGATTTTGTTCAAAGTATAAATAAATATAGATATGCATCAAATGTACATATACCTATAATAACGACATAAAGCAGATCACGTTCGAATATTTTATGGCAAATTTACTCAATTACCCTTTTTTAGATTTCTAATAAAACTACCGGTTGCTATCCTCAATTTCGTATTTTATACTCACGTATAAGGCATTCATGCAATTAAATCAATTGAATACATAAAAGATATGTTCAGCCCACTTTGTACGAGTGACATGATTCATGTTTGAGGAAGAAGACTAAGAAGGTCATTAACTTATTGCTATTGGTTTTTTGTTTTCGATTGAAACATATGCTCGGGACGTTGGAAATAAACTCTAAAGCGCATTTTCAAAATGTTTCTGGGTAGGTATTAATATGGAGAATTGAATTGAATTTGAATGTTGAATGAATTTTCTCTCCAGGGGGGTAAGTTTAGCCTTCTGAGAAGTAAGCACAGTATCTTCAAAATCAGCGTTTCAAATTTGAATTAAAAAAAGGAAAAGAAGATCATTACAAAAACATCTACGAAAGTACCCAAAAAAGCGATCAAGAATAAGAATAAAATTATGTACCCAAATAAAATGATCAGATACTAAACAAATTCCACGTGTCTGACATTATTAATAGACTATAAATTTTTGATGGTTTTTTAAAATCAATGTAAACGAGATTTAGCTTGCAGAAAAGAAAGTTTATTACTATTTATTATTAGTTTTAAAGTTTTATAAAAAACCAGGACGCATTTCTGTACACCTTGTAGGTTTAAAAACTAAAGCAAATATTTTTACATTTTGTAAAAACTGTGATTAATAAATACGATTTGTACTTATGAAATTACTAATTAGATATTTCGAAATAGAAATAGGTACATATTTACACCACTATAATTAATTATCTATACAATACTTTTTTAATGGAAGATAATTATTATACTTTTTTTGTTTTTTTTACTTTTCATACCAGATATAAATTTTGTATAGATAGGTATAAAGACTATTGTTTAAATTAACAAAAATTAACTTTTATTATTTCACACGACACCTTTAACCCTTTGTAAAGAAAAATAAGTAAATAGGTTTTGTACAAAATTAATAGTAGTCATAATTTTCACTCTTTTGTTAGGATGTTGTATCTACCTAGATTTTAATAGATGCCTATGTAGATGCAAAGCTAATAATTTTCTATAGTACTCACCCTCTGCTGCAGGAGATTGTATTATATCTGCCATGACAACTACCTTTTAGATTCTGAAATGGTTAAAATATTTCTATCAGTTTTTAATATGAAATTAAAAATTTGCGTTGTGTTGTATTGCATGATTTTTGGAGTTTTTCAATGTCTTTAGAATAAAATAATTTAAATAATAAAATAAACATTTCAAATGGACTTTTAAAATTTCACAATTCTGTAAACGTGATCCTACATATTAAAGTGCTAACATAAAGGATCACGAGGAAAATTTTATTAGACAAATGCCCATATCAATGTTAAAGTCAACATGGCTAATGTCTCACGAAAACAATAAATATCAACAGGTAGTGTAACTTCCAATTGGTACAGTAAAGCAAATAAGTTATTTGTAAAGATCGCTACTTTATTATAATTTATTGGTGTAGCGTATTTAATAAATAATATTACTTACCTTACAAAAGCTACTAAACAAAAGAACAAAAGCACAAAAAGGGTACTTAAACACTTAGAACATACAATGTACAGCTATAGCTGCTCAGAACTGAATTGCAGACTGCACGTTGGATGCTGCTATATATATAACAGAACAAACGGTTCTGAATCTCTTAAGCGACACCACTATTGGTCGATTTGATTTAAACTAAAAGTTCTCATTGGACTGCTTTTTATATGACGTACTCTAAGCAGCTTTTGAATTCAAATTTTTAATGTTTCAACTGATGCGCTCTTTAACAGTTTCTATATTTAACTTAAACAAAGAAATACTTTCCTGTGAATCATACATGCAGAAATCATATGTAAGTAGCATACTTCTTATTTTTATGATTTATATTAGAAACACTTCTTTAATATTAAAATCAGTATTGAGCAATATTCATTTGAAAGTAATTCGGAAAGTATTTGAGCATTCTCAATTATATCCTTTACTGAAATATTAGTCTTTATTTCGTTATTGTATATCTGCACTTTTACTTTGTAAATATTTTTGGAATATAGCAAGTACTTTATTCTTAAATGCAAATACAACGAAAATATTTGCGATAGAAAGTGCATCAGAAAAGTCCTGGAGTTTTATAATTGCATTCATGTTTTAAAGGTGTTAAATCATAAATAAGTTTTCTTTGAAAGTACGAATAAACTTTTAATATACGGCATGCAGAGACATACAAATTGTATTCATTTAGTTCAGTAATATATAACAATTGATTTAAGAAATGAAAACCGTTACGTATATGTGGGCGAAACATCACACCTTAACGTTCACAAAATTTTCAACGGTTTTAAGAAGTTGTTTTACCAAAATAAGTAAGTGACAAAGGAGTGAAGAATCTTGCAAGTTTTTAACCTTGAAATTATAAGTAAGTTTATTAAAAATAAAATGACGGTTAAACGGATTCAGAGCAATAAAAAAATTATACAAAAAATGGGATCTTAAATTATATACAAAATTAAGAAATTGTAACTTTCTGACTATAACTTTCAAAACCTTATGTCGTAATAACTAGATCCACAACTTTTATTTTCCTCACGAAGGAATAACTGATTTTATTAATTATTTTGAATATACTATAAGCAAAATTTAATGACAGTGATAGAAATCGGAAACATATCTGTATGGATTAAAAATCAACGTCCAAAGTGAAATTCGTTTTCTGTACCATTTCATTCTATTAACTGTAACTCGAATTTAATATTTGTTTCCCCCTATTTCATCAAATTTTGATTTAAGCTTCAGTTTCACACCACTGCCTGTTTCTGCGTCTTTCTATCGCTGATCGCTGGGTTCGAAGTTTGAATAGTTCAATGGAATTAATTTAATAAAGTTTATCTATGGAATAAATGAAGAAGAAGATAACTAGTTAGTTTATGAGGTTAGAATTAAAAATTGTAAATATTTAAATATTCTATATGTATTATTTCTTATATTCTTGATAGTAATGGAATTAGATTTTTCAAAAATATGCAGAATTTGTTTAAACGAAGGCGTTATGATGTCAATTTTCAAAGTTAATATATCGAAAAAGATGATGGCTTGTGCTTCTGTTCAGGTAAATTTTATGAAATAATTGGTCCTTCTAATGCAAAGTACATTGAAATTTACAGGTTTGGCAGAATGATGGTTTACCATCTCAAATATGCAATAAATGTTCTGCAAAATTACATATATCCTTCCAATTTAAAAAGCAGTGTGAAAAATCGGATGCCAAATTACGACAGTATTTAACAAGTTTATCAAATGAAAAACAACAAAACCAAATAGTCAATCAAAATGAACTTGAATTTGAACAACAGATTCAAAATCAACAACTGCATCAACAGCCACAACCCCTTCAACAAGAGCAATCTCAAATTCAGCAAGTACCTGAACAAAATCAAGGTTGTGTTTATATAGAATGTGCCCCTCTAATTGAATTGCAACATGATGATAGATTTGAACTAAGCTACAATATACCACCACAAAATCATTTACCTATTAGTGGATATATTCAGGGGGTTAGTCAATTGCAGGTTTACAATGGTGCAACATATTCGCTTCCTATGCAGCAAATGCAACAACCTAATATTCTGCAGAATCAGATTGTAGGTTAGTGTAATGAGCAATTTTGTGATTCGGCGAGAAGAATTCATTTATAGTAATTTTAGATCCTCCTTACATAATTGAAGTTCATTTATCTAGAAAAAATATTTTTATATCAAGGTATAGGTAATCCATTACCATCTACTAAATTTATCCAAACTACCTATGGTGATGAGAACTAATAAGTTCGAAATCGCGATCCAAGTCTGGTAGTTTTGATAAATTACTGATTAAAAACTTAATCTTTAATGTTTTTATATTTATAAATTGATTATCACATAATATGTTAAGGTACTTGTATATGTCTGTTCTAGTTATGCATTTATTATTAATCTGTAGGTATTGTATAGTCTTTAATGAAATGTTTATAAATTTGAAACCATCCTAAACTTGCTTATGTAATTCATGAATGACCTACAGTGTCTTAGCTATACCTGAAAGTCGTACGTTTTATAAACGCCTAGACATCCTATAAAAAGAGTAGGTTGCTAATCATTTTATCGCACGGCAAGCTAGTAATAGTAAAATAACATCAAAATAACAAATGTTTGCTATTTGTTTATTCATTATAAAATATCTTAAGCTTTATGTAAGGACTAACTTTCCAGTCTGGTTATATGTACAAATAACAGTCAGTTTCAGTGTCAAACTTAATCAATTAGAAATTAAAATTAAATAGTGAAATATACAGCAACATTGACAAAGCAAACGTATTTTTAAATCAGAATTAATGTAAGATTTTCCTATAGGTCCTTCAATTCAAGTGCAACAAATTCCTCAGCCGCCTTTACCAGATCCTCCAGTAATTCAAGATCAGCAACAAGCAACAAATGGGCAACCAGAATTGAAAGACAAAACGAAAGAAATAAAATCTTTATCAAAGCCAAATGATAATAACAGACAATGTTTAACATGTGGGAAAATTTTTGCTACACCAACCAAATTAAGTCGTCATATGAAAACTCATTCTTCTGACATGCCGTACAAATGTAAAATATGTAATAAGGCATTTTCACACAGTGGAAATTTTAAAATTCATCTTAGAATGCATACTGATGAGAGACCATTTAAATGCACAGTTTGTAATAAGGGATGTCGACAAGCTCAAGACTTGGAGAAACATATGAGAACCCATACAGGTAATAAATAAAATTAATATGTTTGAATAACTTTTTTTTACTGATTTTTTCATAGCACTATTAAATAGACAAAATAATTTCAAAAGTCTTGCGATCTTTCAGTTAAAATTATATTACATTTCTTAATTAAAGCAATGCATTCTGTAATTACATAAGATTTTATCTTCTTATGTTCTGCACATATAATAGGAACTTAAGACTTTAGTTTTGAGTATGCATTTAAAAATATTTAAATTAGTTTAATGGTATCTAATAAGGAATATATAAGAAATGTAATTGTATGTGTTATAATTTGTCATTTTCAAACCGTCCAATTGTTTTTAAAAGATGCATTATTCATTTAATTTTTAATGTTGTATTTGTTAATTTGATAACAAATTCTGTATAATTTTTTTGTCTAGGTGAACGACCTCATAAGTGTACCATGTGTACAAAAGCTTTCTCTACAAGATCCAATTTGATAGCACACATTAGAACCCACACAGGAGAACGTCCGTATGTTTGCTGCGTTTGTCAGAAAGCGTTTTGTCAATCAAACGAACTTACAAAGCATATGAGAACACACACAGGAGAAAAGTCACATATTTGTGATATTTGTCATAAAGGTAAAATAAAGGGACCAAGAATTATCAGAATGTTAATTATTTACGTCTTAAGCTATATTTTCAGATTATTAAAAAAAAAAAAAATAATGTTAGGTACTTAGCAGACAAAAAAGATAACAATTATGAAAATTATTTGAGAACTTAAGATTTTATTTCACTTTATAAACACAATGTATGTGTAATCATGTGGTGGAGTATTATTAAATGTGTTTTTGGTTTACAGGTTTCAATGGTTCCAGTACCTTGATAGTTCACAAAAGGTCTCATACAGGCGAACGACCCTACATTTGTCAAATTTGCAAAAAAGGCTTCGTGCAGTCAAGTTGTTTAATAGTACATGTTAGGCGACATGCAGGTGCTAAGAAATTTGAATGTACTCATTGTAATAAACCGTTTGTAACGAACGCTGATCTTAAAGCTCACTTGCTAACTCATTCAGAAGAAGAAAAATCGTTTAATTGTAGTGTATGTGACAAAACATTTACGAAATCTAGAGACCTTCAAAAGCACTCTAAAACACATAGTACTTTTTCATAGCTTATTTAAATAAGCATTAAATACTCAGTAAACATTTGGTAGTGAATATTGGAAGCCCCCTTATAATGTGAATAGCATATTAATTATGAATATATACCGTGAACAAACTAAACTTTCGGTTATAGAAACTTTAAAAATTAATATATCACCGTTACGGTTGCGCCATTGCTATAAATCTCCGATATATTTATTTGGTGCTTCCCCTAGCTGAGATGTTTTATTTGTGTATTGACTGTTAATGGTCTGTATTCTGCAAATCTTGAATGGTTGAGTAGTTTTTGTAGATAGCCCAGTGGGTAGGAAAAAGTGACGTCGACATTACTGACCTGATATAAAGACTGTTTTTATTTGAATTATTATTTTCGTTAAGTACAAAAGAATTGCTTACGTTTTTTTCCTTTTTACCGTAGAATTATTCAACTATAATTCATTATGCTGGTATTTTATAATTAACAATAAACGTCTAATTGTGCTTTTTCCAAACTTATCGTTTTAAGAATTTTTGCTCATTTATGTAAATTTCATTGTTTCAAAGACTGATGAATATTGTAAATATAGTTGTATATCAAACTGTGTAATATATCATATAAAAAACAATTATTACGTTAAATGCAATGTGAAGTAAATATAAAACAATGATTAAGTAAAACTAAGTTAGTTTTATTTTGATTAGTGGAAACTTTTTTCGCGAAAAAAATATTATTTTGGTTCGTTAGATAAGAATACAAACAATCCCATTATTTTAATGTTTATTTCAGAAACAAAAGTATTCAAACAGTAAACATCAACAAAAGAAAATATCAGTACAAGAAAACTGTTTCTTAATATTACACATTACATATTTCAAATAAGTTAGAGAGCTACAAAAAAAAAGTCCATATTCAAAATAACCACAACCTTTCATTGTATAAGTACTACCTTGTGGTACAGTAGTTTGTAGAAGACTAATTACTTCGTATTTACATAGTCAGACAAAGAGTACTCACAATACTGGAATTGAGCTGATAAAGGTATATTTATTACTACAATATTAAGTAGCTTTATTCATGATAATGTACTCAAAAATATATTAAATTTATTCTACCAGTTCCACATGTTTCTCAAAATGAATACCTTAATAATAATGCTAATATTACTTCATAATCTAAAAAGACTTCTGTTTTAAAATAGTCAGATTATAAAATATTAGGTACATTAAAATATTCACAAGTTGACCAGAGGATTATTTAATACTAAAAATAACAACTTTTAATGAATCACGTTTTCAGCATAAGGTTTATATTAAATGTAATAACTTGTTTGATTTTGTAAGTTATGAGAATGCATTTGAACCAAGTGATGTGCTGTGAATGAAAGAATTTGGGAATCTAGCATTAGTGTAGGCTGACACATAATGGGCTCACTCATCCCTAGTTGTGGTGTACATAAGCTTACTTGACTTAGTTGTTGAATTTGTGGCTGAATTTCTAACTTAATACTGTCATTTGTACCATTAAATTGAATCAATGGATTTAATTGTACTTGATCTAAATTAAAAACAGGTAAATAATTTTGATTGAAACATGACGGCATATCTTCCAAATTCGGTAAAACTTGAGTACATATTGCAGGTATTGTGTTATCTGTACTTAATCTGTGGTTTTCTGGAAAAGCCTTTTCCTCAATATTTGATATTGTTGATGGTGCAACTACAGAAGAATTAGATTGCTGAGGAATATGTTCATTGTTTTTGGAACTTTCACCATTTACTTCTTTTGATGAAACATTCAGTCTTCTTTTGATAATCTCAGCTACTTTCTGAGATATATTATTGTTGGGTTGTACTGTTGGTTTAGGAACTTCAGCTAATGGTTCGCATGTATGCACAAAAAATGCAAACGGTCTGCTGGTGTCAACTTCATGAAGATGATTAAAATTAATTTTAACAACAACGTTTAAGCCCAATTTTATATGCCTATTTTTGCGCCTGGTTAGGGGATTGTCAGTTAAGACCTTTACATCCAGTGTACCTCTACATCTTCTAGCATCAAACAACAATTCTTTTTGAACTTCTTTTTCAACGTAAGTCCAACATTGATACTGCTTTCTAAATTTTATTTTAGGACCTGTATTTGAAACTTTTTTGACCCAAACGGTTTTTGTAACTTCGGAAAATAAATCTACCCATTCATCACATAAAGCATTAAAGTCGTCGCTATTTCTTTGGATTTGAGTTCGAAACCTTATCTCAAAATTTTTATTTTCTAACCATTTGATCGCTATTAAATCAAATTTACGATCAATTCGGCTCAAAACACCTTCAAAATCACTTTTCGCTTGTTCTTCACCTGCCATCTTTGTTTTTATTTGGGCAATTTTGAGGTTACCTTAGGCTCTTACGCATCCTTACATAAACTATTTGATAAGTGAAATTGAAATGATGGGGTACGTTCTTTGCTCACCGCAAATGATTTGTCACTAGTTTTTACTAATTCATTACTATCAAAGAAAATAAATGTTTTGGAGTATTTTTGTGTTAAATGTATTCAGGAAAACGTAAGTTGAAACTTGACAACATTGTACATGTTCTCAAGCCAAATTTTCTTCTTGCAGAAATAAGAGGCTGTTATACCAGGTGATCAAAAATAAAGGTATGCAGAGTGTTTACTGAATGTTAGTAAATGTAGATTATCGTTACCCAGGTTATACCACAAAAGGGGTTATTGTTCTGACTAACGTAATTTAACAGTTGAAAATAGTAATTAAGAAATTATAGTATTAATGTAATGCACGTTAGCGATACTTATGATACAAATGATTTTGTGATACATAGCCCATAAGAATTGTTTTACTAAAACTTCTTAAAAATAAGTCTTAGGAACATGAAATACTTAAATATTTTGGAAAGAAAATTAATAAAAGTGGCTTTATACACCCGTTTATTAGTTATAAGCATACAATTTTTCGGAAATATCTTTATACCAGATCATAATGCTGACGTTTTTTTGTATCCAAAAGAAAAGCTCCCATTTACTTTTTTGGACTCTTTAATTCAATTTATTTTTGGTGGATTTATAAGATGGGATGCTCAATATTTTATACACATAATTAAATATGGGTACTCATACGAAAATACGTTACCATTTTTTCCAGCGTTTCCGTTTATAGTTAAGTATTTTGTACTGCCAATATTTAATATGTTTCCTTATTTAAATCAGGATTCAGCTTGTATTTTGTCATGTTTGTTTGTAAATTGTGTCTTTTTCATAGCAGCCGCACTGCTTTTATTTAGATTGACTTCTCTCATTCTAGATGCAGACTTAGCATACAAATCAGCAGTATTATTTTGCATTAATCCTGCTACAGTATTTTTTGTAGCTCCCTACACTGAATGTCTTTTCAGTTTTTTTTCATTTTTTGCTATGCTAAAATATGCAAAATTAAAACAGCAACTTGACAGAAATAACGACATAAGAATTAAATTAAAACATGTTTTGTATTTATTTCCTATAGGACTAAGTACCTTAACAAGGTCCAACGGCATTCTTAATGTGGGTTTTGTTTTGTACTTCTTCCTTTTTGCTAGTAGTAGATTATTTTTTAATAACTTTAAAAAGCATTTTCTGATTGTACTTTATCTTATGCGGTACATTTTTTGGTGTCTGATTGGAGTCGTTATAAGTATGGGGCCTTTTGTTTGTCTTCAAATATATCATTACAGTCTTTTCTGCAAAGATTTCGACATAAGTTTGCCTCAGTTTTTAGTAGAATTTGCTGAGAAGAATAATTATTGTTTACCGGGAAAATTTTCATTGTACAATCAAACATGGTGTTTAAAAAGGATACCGTTGGCTTATTCTTATGTGCAAGAACATTATTGGAATGTAGGGTTCCTTAATTATTACGAACT